ATTTTTGTTATTTCTTCTCTTCTGCTGGGTTTGGGTTTCATTTGTTCTTGCCTTTCCAGTGTCTTGAGTTGCAGTGTTAGGTCATTTATTTAAGCTCATTCTGATTTTTTAATGTAGGCACTTAGAGCTGTAAACTTCCGTCTTAGGACTGCTTTTAAAATGTCCCAGACGTTGTGTTATGTTGTGTTGTCCTTTTCTTTGAATTCCAGGAATTCTCTTATTTCTTTATTAATTTCCTTTTGACCTACTCTTTGTTTAGGAATGTGTTGTTCAACTGCCATAAGTTCATGTAGTGACTAGGGCTTGTCCAGTTTTGATTTTGAGCTTTATTGCATTGTGGTCTGATAGAATGCGTGGAATTATTTCAATTTTTTTGTATTTGTTGAGGTTTGCTTTGTGCCCCAGTATATGGAGAAGGTTCCATGGGGTGCTGAGTAGAAAGTATGTCCTTTGGTGCTTTGGTGGAATACTCGGTAGATACCTGTTAAATCCAGTTGAAGTCACCTACTGTTAATGAGTTGGGATTAATCTGGATCTTAAAGTCCTGTAATATTGTTTTTATGAAGTTGGGTCCACCAGAGTTTGGTGAATATATGTTCATGATTGTACTATCTTCTTGATTTATTGTTCCTCTGATCAGAATGAAGTAGCCCTCTTTATCTCTTCTGATTAGTTTTAGTTTAAAGTCTATTTTGTCACATATTAGAATTGCTACGGCTGCTTTTTTCTTAATACCATTTGCTTGGTATGTATTTTTTTCATCCTTTCACTTTAAGATAGTGTCTGTCCTTGAAAGTGAGATGAGTTTCTTGCAGAAAAAAAAAAAGGCAGGTTTTTTTTCTGAATCCATTCACCTAGTCTGTGTCTTTTGACTGGGGAGTTCAGTCCATTAATATTCAAAGTTATTAATGAAAGATGAGTATTGAATCCTGTCATTTTTATTTCTGTTTACATTCTTGATATAGCTGTACTTTTCCACAGTTATACCTTCATTGAATTTCTTTCTGCAACCCGTTGGGTATAGTCATTCCTTTCTTCAGCTCTTTGTGTTGCTTCTAGAACTCTCTGAGGGGCTGGTTTTGTGGACATGAATTCCTTTAGCCTGTTTATGTCATGGAAGATTATTCTTTCCCCTTCCACTATAAATAGACATTTTGGCTAGGTATAATAATCTGGGTTGGCATCTGTGGTCATTTAAATCTGGGAATACTTTGGTCCAGGCTCTTTTGGCTTTCGTTGTTTGCACTGAAAAGTCAGCTGTGATCCTAATGGATTTTCCTTTTATGCGACTTCTTGTTTCTCTTTTGCAGCTTTCAGTATTGCATTCTTTCCCCTTCCACTATAAATAGACATTTTGGCTAGGTATAATAATCTGGGTTGGCATCTGTGGTCATTTAAATCTGGGAATACTTTGGTCCAGGCTCTTTTGGCTTTCGTTGTTTGCACTGAAAAGTCAGCTGTGATCCTAATGGATTTTCCTTTTATGCGACTTCTTGTTTCTCTTTTGCAGCTTTCAGTATTGCCTCTTTTGTTTTGCATGTTTAGTGTTTTTACTATGATGTGCCATCGAGACTTTCTTTTCTGGTCCTGTCTGTTTGGTGTTTGCTTCTTGTATTTGCATGGGCATGTCTTTCTTTAATTTTGGGAAATTTTCTTCCACGATTCTGTTGAAGATCTGGTCCATGCCATTATCTTGGGATTCTTCTCCTTTCTGTATGCCTATGATTCATAAGTGTGGTCTTTTTATGGTGTCACACTGTTCCTGCATATTCCATTCTTGTGATTTCTTAAATTTTTCATAATCTTTGCTTGAGTGACGGTCTAGTTCGCCGACTTTCTCTTCCAGTCTTGATACTCTGTTTTCCATTTCATTCATCCTGTTGATGAGGCTTACTCCTGTCATTTCTAATTGGCTTACTGAGTGTTTCACTTCCTTCTTCATTTCAGCTTGAATATTCTTCAATATTTCTAACTCTTTTCTGAATCCATTCAGAAGATTTTCCTTATCTGCCTTCAGTTCTT